CACTGTGGTGATATCAAGTAGATCCTCACATCTTCGCATAAAGACATAGTGTACCAACTATCTGTTGTTTTTTCCCCCCTAGTGTCTATCTTAAAAAACCCAAGAGGTTTTATTTTGCAATATCCTTGCTTTTAAGATAACTTTCTAAGTGAATCATGAGAGGTAATGTGGTATAGTAGATAGAAATCTAGTTTTGTAATTAGGAATATGACCCTAACACATACTAGCTATTTTTTCTTGGGTCGAGCAGTCATGAAATATCTAGGAGTTCTTATCAAATATTGAGAAATCCGAGGAGATTGTACCCATGGTGAAATATGCATTTGATTCCAGCTTAACTGCTATGCAGTAACAACTTAATAATGCCAGAAAATGTAGCATTCCTTATATGTCACAAAGTTTCATTTTCTTCTCCCCCACCCCAAAAAAAAATTTCATCTAGTTTATGTATTGGAGAAGGTAGCTATGCTAGGATGATATTTTAGTTACATATAAAAACCTAAATTTTTGAAATCTATGTCCAAAGGAAAGGAGAGAGATTGACTATTTGAAGATAAAAGTGACAGGCAATTTATTAATGAAGTCTAGTACAATGAAAAATAATAATTTGAAAAAGGTTTTTCAAAAAAGGTTACCTGTCTAGTAACCTTACTTTTTAAAAGGTTTCACTGAAATGAGACAATACACAAATAAATATTAAGGCCACTGGACCCTTGGTACTCCATACATACTTAGCACTGAAGTAAGCTACAGATCATAGAACAAAAATTCAAAAATGGAACAAAATTTTAAAAATAGGATTAGTAATAACTTTGAAAATTCCTAGGTAATGGGTAAAGATTGTGAAATCAATTATATGAAACTGATATGAATTAATATAAAATCAATATGTTTAAATATTAATATAAATGATTTGAAATCAATAAAATGGTTATTTCAATTTCAATTCAAATTTCAATTGATATGAAGTCAATATAATGACATAAAACAGGAATTTTCCCCCTCATTTCCTAATGATAGGATGAGACCTCGGCCCTCAAGTTTGAAGTAAAAGCTACAGTCTCACCGGAGCCACATCCAAAAGTTATTGAATTACACAAGGATGAAAATGTTGCATATGTAAGAATTCTTCCATTTGGGGTGTGAAAAATATGATTTAGGTGCTCAGTTGTTTTTGTTCTGTGTGACTAAACAAAACAGGGTAGATAAATTATCTTTTACCATCTTCACCTGTAACTTTGTATTATTCTATTAGTCAGTGAACATTTAGGCCAGCCACTTGCCAAGTGTTAGGGCTACAAAGAAAGACAAATATTCCCTGCCCTCAAAGAGCTCACATTCTAACAGGAAAGATGATACATAAAAGAAAATTCAGCTTTAAGGTGGATGGAAAGGCCCAAAAGTCTTATGGGAGAAGCAGCGGGGAGAATAAGACCTGGCATCCTTAGGTTACCACAGGAGGTCAGATGACAATGCCAGGGGGTTGTAAAGGCAGGGCAGATGGTAAGGGATGGAAGGCCCTCCAAGTTCACTGGAACGAATAGGGTTGGTGACTCCTTTCTCATTCAGGTGATATAAGAAGTCAAGCAGCCTGAGTGGGGTCCTGGGTAGTCCTTTCTGGGGAGTAATGAAGGAGGAAGGGTACCCCGCAGTGGCATTGCCTGGTCTGAATGGGTCCTGGGATGCCAGGGATAGGGCAAAGGAAGAAGGCAAAGCTGCCCCATTGACTTTTCCAACTTAACTATCCTGATGAGTTCTGGGTGGCTGGGTTAGGGAAAGGAGCGAGGGGAAGGCAAGAGGGAGGCTGAACCTAGCAGCTTATCTGGATTGCAGATGGCTGTGGGGCAGCATCAAGATGAGAGAGGGATTAAGGGTGAGGAGGTAGGGGGAAAGGTACCTCATGTGATTTGAAATAAAAAAAAATTATAAATTATCTACTCACCATGGCTGTGTGATTTCCTTCAACAGTGTTAGCAGCTTGTAAGTAGGAGCAGATAAGATAGATGGGAAGATTGATCCAGAATTGGGGTTTGGAAAGAGCAGAAATACAACCAAGGGGCAAGGGATTTTAGGATAGAGAACAATGCAAACTGAACTGTTTATAGTTGGGTCAAGATTTTAGAGGGAAAAAATCAGGGTCAATGAATAGGAAAGCAGAGGGAGGATAGAGTGATAGTGGGAGACAAAGATCAGATTTTTCACAAAATGTGTATTTATTACAGATATTTGGACTTATCTGACCTTTTGTTATCAATTTCCTTTTCTGGAATCCATGTCCACTCCCCTTTGCATGGATATATCCTGGGGCTCTGTTCTAGGCCTTCTCTTCTCTCTCAATACTTTCTCTGTATATATACTTGCAATGTTGGTGACATTTTATTATTCACAAACCCCATGTGCTGTCCAAGGTATTTACTGTGAGGGAATACAAGAGCACTAACTTGCCCACTAGGTGTGAATGTGAGATATGAATACATTTTATTGGTATGGATGCTGCTTGCATTTGCATATTGTAACCTTTTTTACATTGCTTCATCCTTTTTTTTGGGGGGGAGCACAGTAACTCATAAATTATATATGTTAGCTTTTTGAACTGATGCTTTAAAAAATTTTCCTTCAATTCATATAGGTCCATCTAGATGGATTGCATCACCAAAAGCCAAAACCATATTTTCGTATAATGGTTATTTCAACCAGTTTTATACTGGGTTTCACTGTATTTTTATTCCTTTCATACATCATGTGGAAGGTAAGTCACATAGTCTATTTTTCAAATTTTATCAAATCCAGTAGTGTGGTTTCCCTTTTAATGGTAAAAAATCCTGAAATCTAGCAGTGTTCCACTCATCACTCCCCAAATCATTTTACTCTGATTTCCTGTTATTTTCCTAACCGTCAATTTATTGAAGTCTTTCTTAAGAAAAACTGCCTTCTTAAACCCAGGATTATTACATTTTGAATAAATGCCCAAACTAACTTGTTTGCTTTTTGGGCTTCTTAACTTTCTGGGGGAGAGGAATCTTAGAAATCCAGACTCATTTTTACTCCCTTCAGAGTTTGCCTAGGTTGGATAAAAGACATTTTTAGTTTTCTGCAGTGTTTTTGGTGGTACCCCGACAATGGTCGCTCATTGTTAAAGGCACATTGGGAGCTTTAGCACAAAATAAGCTAAAAGAAAAAAAAAGAGTACTAGCATTAGCAATATGTGAAGAGGTTATCATGTCTTTGTGGGGTTTATCTTCATCCTGCACTAGAATTATGGATACTGACTCTGAAATGGTATTGTTTTATTCAGGCGGGTTTCTTTAAAAGAGAATACAAAGCTATTCTTCAAGAGGAAAACAGAAGAGACAGTTGGAGCTATGTCAACAGCAATAAAGAGAATTAAAGACTTCTTTACCATATACCAGTCTCAGGTTAACTAAAAAAGATGGAAGACACTGCTTACAAGAAAACATTGTCAACTGAATTCTACTGTGTTTACTCATCTTGATGTGCTTTTTTTTGGGGGGGGGGGAGCTTAAATATGACCATGTGACAGAATGTATCATAATTCCAGTAAGCATCTAAATGGTGATTATTGTTTCAAGAAGAATGAAAAAGGAGGTATCTGAAGCAACCCAAGACAGCATCTTTCTCAGGTGTCAGAAGAATTGAAGAACACTAAAAAAGTTTATTTCTTCAGGATGAGTAGTTCTCTAAAGAGATCATGGGATGCCAGTATATGTGAACTGAGTTGCATCGTGGAGAAAATAAGCAACTCAGTTTAGTAAATCCTTTTACTTGAAGCATCCTTTTAAATAAATGTATTTGCAAGCTATACTCATTATAGTGGTGAAATAAACCCTTATCGAATGGACATTAATTGTTTTTAAAGAAATCATCATTGGTTTATTTAAAACAGTTCTCTTTGAGGTATTGTTTATTATATTTCAAAGGGCTATATTGAGGCTTTCTTGTATGAAGTGATCAGAAAAGGATTACCTTATGTTAAAACAAATGCATCTTTGATGATCTTTGATTATAACTCACTTCACGTGAATGACAATCAACAAATATTTATTTTTAATTTTTTAATTTTTTTTTTTGCTTTTTGGTGAGGCAGTTGGGAGTAAGTGATTTGCCTACATTCACACAGCTAGTAAGTGTTATGTGTCTGGGACCGAATTTGAACTCTGGTCCTCTTGACTCCAAGGTCAGAGCTCTATGCACCAGTGCCAACTAGCTGCCCCTAACAAGTATTTATTAAGCAGCTAATAATTAATAACCTGCATTAACTGAGGAAAATAATAGCTGAAACATGCATACAGTGATCAAACATTCGACTTAACTGGTCGTGCCTTAAGGGAAGGACGATGTGTGATTTTCTTAGGTCTATGGATTTACATATACATATGTAAAATAAGCATTATTATATATAAGAATATATAAAATTCATTTATGCTTTTTTAAGTTATGTGAATATATACACATATATTCACAATATACTTTCTTCCATGGTAACCATGAACCAAAGAAAATAGTTTTTTTTTTAACTGATTATTTGTAAATTTGAAAAATTATTTACTTCCATGATATTTTTAATATTGAGATAGCAGATTGTGAGTGTTGCACTTTAGCCAATATCTGAATAGGAAATACACTGATGTATATGATGTATGTATTATGAAAACCATACCTCACTAATGATGAAAACATAAGGACAACCATTATATGTATTGTATGCAAATACTGATTGGACAATAATGAAATGCACTAATATATATTTGAATAATAATGCGTGCTATTCAACTATAAGTATTAAATGAGTACATATTAGTTTTTATTTTGTTTTTTTTTTACAAAAAAGATGCAAAAGAAGTCACAAATTTAACTATACTAAAAATATTTGGGGATTGAAGGATAAATGCAAAAAATATAAATATAGCAAATGTTTCCATTAAAATGTAAGGTAATTTTTTTAAAGTCATAAAATAGCTTATTTCCAGGTTTTTAAATAATTTACATTGTATTTGCAAATGAAAATGCATTTTACTTGCAGTATTTATTACATGTATATTAAATAGGTGATATAAAAAGTGGGCAAATAACATTTTACCAGGGTCTGCTTGTATGTATCCTTGTACCTGTGGCAAAATATGTAACTTTTTCAAAGCCTGATAAAATCTCTTTCCTAGTCCTCTAATTCTTTGATTTATTTTTGTAGCCCTTTATTTATTTGTTAGTAAAATGGAAAATAATGCACTTTACAAAAAATCTACACAAAATATTTAATGAATACATCAGTTGGGTAAATGCTATTTCTGTATATTTGTGGCTCCAGAATTCTTAGATCTTCCTTTTCCAGGTTCTCATAGTTAGTAAAATTAAGTGTGGTCAGGTTAAGTTTTGGCTTTGCCTTAAAGGCCCCTAAAACTATGGTCTTTGATTTTCTATCTCCAGAAGAATTCTGTTTGAAGAACTCTTTAATTTGGTCTCCTTCTTCTTTGTAAATGAGTATTTTAGTGCTGAGTATAAGGCATTTGCCACTGTTATGTACCAAAGTGCAGTAATTTCTAAAATCCTATCCGTCTCTCAGATATGAGAGAAGATATAAACTTTTAAAATTTGCTCTAAACTATGAGGAAAAAGCATTTTAAAGGGTGAAAATGAGTATAAATTTTGTATATGTTTAAATGGAATGTGTAAGAGTTTTAGTTAGTTTTATGAATTCAGAGCATTTTAAAAATTAGACAAATGAGTCCATTTCAGAAAAATATTTACTAATCATCATAGCTAATTTGAATAATGATAGAATTTTGGGGAGATGGGATCATGGTGTAGAATAGCAATATTATTTGCAAAGACTACATGGACAAACTACAAGAAACAAAATGTTAGAAATATGTCAGAATCAGTTTATTCATTTCTAAAAATGTAAAATCTTAGTTTCAGTTTTAATAATACAGGTTAAAACAACTGTAGTAATTTGGGTGGTGTACTCTATGAATGGTTAGACTGAAAAAAGCTTGAAATCTTGATCTGCAGTTTCAATAAATATATTTTTACTAAAATAGTTTAACATCTCATATACTATTTTTTCTAGATTTTTTAAAAACTAAATTGTATTTTTCTATAACATAAAAATAGTCACTTTGATTTTAAAATTATTTGAGCTATAAATATCCCAACTTTATACATTTCTTCTGTAAACAATTTAATATTACTTGTAGTCATTCATTTCTTCTAGGTTTCCTCCATAAAGCTTGATAAGTTGTGGATGCACCCTGTAAAGAAAATACTTGTCATTTATAATTCTATTAATGTATTCATTTTTCTATTGATTTTTATAATGTAGAGTCTTGTCACCTGCACATAGTACTGAGTATCCTCTGCATCATACACCCAAATCTTCTGACAACTAGTAGACATACATGAAATGCAAATAGGTACCGAGAAAAACTGAGGTAGCTATGGGATGATTAAACATCATAAATTAACTTTAGCCGAGCACTCACTACCTGCCTGACTACTGTGTTCTGGATGAACAATGGTATTTATACTTACTTAATATGAACTTCTGATGGTACTTCCACTAAATCTCCATCAACATTCCAAGGGTAATTATTTTCACTAGATGGTCCATGAAACTCAACATCTCCTGTGTCACACCCAGAGTTATTTCTTGGCTGGAGTTTTACTTCTTCAACAGTGTAGGTCTCAACAAATGGAAAATTAAACTAAATTAAATAAAATGTTTGTTATTTATTTTACCTCAAATTGGTAATAAAATCAAGATAGTTTAATATGCTATACTTTGTATATAAACATGGCTCCACTGACCTATGTCAGTGGTGTTATCTAGATGGGTCACTTGGAACTCCTTATTAATCTCTTAATTATTTACTTTAAAACTAAACATTCCCAAAATTTTTCTTAGAAACAACCTTTCATTTCCCTGAAGTTCTTGAGATCACTGAGACAGGGGATCTCTTTTCTGATGAAAATTCTGACAAACTGATGGTGGAAATCAATAAACATTTTTTAAGTGCACTTACTATATGTCAGATGCTGTGCTAAGCACTGGATCAATCTGCTTAAAGATACATCAGATATGGCTTTTAGATTTGCCAACAGACTCCAGGTTACTGACTGGGGACTCTCTTTTCACTAATTATACATTTATAAAACAATCTGGTGTAAAAAGGAGCATTAAATGTAAAGTGGCCTATGTGGAAAGGCTAAATCTGAATATTAACTCTAAGTTATGATGGCAAAGTAATTTGAACAAAAATCCAAGTTTTAAACATGAAGCAATGTTCATTTAATTTAGTAGTAATATTTAATAATACTTTAAAATTTAATACAGACAGCATAATTTAGTGCAAATTCTAATCATCTCAAAGTGGGAGGAGAGACCCTCAGGGTTGCTGGCCGAAAGAGAAACAATTACTATTTAACATTCACTCTGAGTCATTGGGCTCAAAAAAAAAAACCATTAAGTGGTTCTTGGCCAATTAATGAGAGCCAGAGTGAATTGGATTTAAGGCTGTTGTGGTTTTATCCTTGTTCTCCAAGAGGACCACGACATCAAGAAGATGATGACATGACTTGCAATTGAATTGGATTTTTTAAAGGGGCCATCCCTTGATTCACTTCTTAAACAGGCCTAATCACTGAATGGGCATTGCCTCACTCAAAGTGAGAACTTGGAAAGACCTTAGCTTAAAAAGGCCAAGGTCTCCCACTGCATCCTGGACCATTCCCAGCTGTCCTGATTTAATCTAGCCATTGGACCCAGATGGCTCTGGAGGAGAAAGTGAGGCTGGTGACTTTGCACAGTCCTCCTTCACTTAAATTCAATTCAATTGCAAGTCATGTCATCATCTTCCTGATGTCATGATCCTCTTCAACAACAAAGGACAAACCACACAATCACAACCTAATCACCTACATTTTGTTGCCCTTTTCTGTGAATGCAACTTATAGAAACATTGACAAAATTAAGATAGAGATATTAATTTCCCAAAGTCACACATCTATTTAGTGGCAGAACTGGAATTAGACCGTGTCTCCAGATTCTTTAATCCACTATTCTTTTTCCTATACTAAATCACCTCAAATTAAAGATTAAGGGCATTAGTACAATATTTGGGTAAGGTTTATACTCTAATTTTACAAAGTTCTATATAATCTCTGTCCTCAAAGAAATATTTTTAAAAATTCATTGATAACTGCTAAGTATTTTCGACTCAGTCAATTATAATCCTTTTTGCTATTAGAATAAATAAGTTAAATATTCTCCTCTTTCAATTTTGGATAGCTTTTATAGAAAATAGTTATAAGAACTGGAGTCATAAATACAGAATGGAACATGTGATTTCATTAGTGTGGGTTATCCTTCCACTGATGCAGAGCATAATGCCCATGTCTGAGTAATCAATCTTCTTGAATAGTCATGGTTGAAAAAGAAATGCTTGCGTAGAGTTCAAATCCGACCTCAGACACTTGACATTTACCAGCTCTGTGAGTCTGGGCAAGTCACTTAATCCTGATTGCCTCACCAAAAAAAAAAAAAGAAAGAAAGAAATGCTTGCATAGCCAAGCTAGTGAATAACACAGAATTCCTTAACATTTAAAATGAAGTATTAAAATTTCCTATTTTTTCATTTATATGTATACATATATTAGGTATAAAACTTTTTTACAAAATGAATGTGCTAACACTTTGTATTATCAATACCACTGCATACAGTCATGCAAGATTATTAATAACTTGTGACTTTTAAAAATAGCTACTTCTGATTATCAAGCCTAATTATGTTACCAGTTCTCCTACCATTTTCTACTGCTGAACCTTCAACTATTGTGCTACAGAAAAAAAAAAATTTGCTTTGCAATAACTGGTAAGAAAACCAACAGAACATTACAGTTTGAGTGACTAAATGTTAAAAAGAAGAAACTTTCTGATTCTGCAATGTGAAGACGTATTTTCTATTCACATCAACTATAAAGAGATTTACATCAATCAGCATCAATGTTTGAGTGCCCAGTGCATAACAAATTGTAAGTTAGCTACTGCCTCATCGATTGTCAATTCTACATATACATTTGTTAGTCAATGTTAACTATATTAGATATCTAATACATTCATCTGTACATATGTGTTTATGCATGTGTATCCTGGTTTTAAATACTAGCTATGATCACAGTACAACTCTCTAGGACTATAAATTACAGAGAAGTTGTATCTACATCAATGAAGGGACTTTCTACACTGGGAGGTCCTTACACAGATGAAAGCACAGGTCTGGATATACACACATGATTAGTCTATAATATGTCTGCATGTTTATACATACATATATACATATGTATGTATGTGTATATGTATATATGCGCATATACACACGTGCTTACACATGAATAAATATACACACATATACACACATACATATATACACATAACAGAAGGACTCCCATAGGAAGCAATTGTGGTAAACTAGCAACAAGATAAAGGAGAAGAGTACAATTATAGGGTCACTCTCCAGCACTACTTACTCACTTCCTCTATGTCGAAGTAGAGGAGGGAAAGAGGACTACAAAGAAGGAAGCTACAATCCTTTTATTGACTTGTCACAGTTAGTTTGCTCTCCATTAGTAGAAGTAAAGAGATAAAAATATTATTGTTAGTTGTGTTATATTTATCTCTGACTCCCCTTGCCAGACTGGAAGTTCCTTAAAGGGACGGTCCAGCATCATGTAGTGGACAAAGTTCTGGACTTGCAGTAAGTAAGAAGACCTGGACTTGAGTCCCAGATCTTCTATTTGCTAACCATAAATTGTTTGAATAAGAAATTTAACCTGTGTTTCTCTTCATCAAAAAATGTCGTTAATGATATTGTATGTAAAACTACTTTAAAGTAATGACATTTGTGTAATTAAAACACCCATTAGTGTTCTTATGTCCAAAAACTCTGAAATTCCTTCATCTGATTTTTAAAAAACACTTAGAAGTTTTTATTGATGTCTTCTGTTTCTTACATTTTAATAATTATCTCCAGGATCTTCTAGTTCTTCCCCTCCCCCTTGGAGTATAAGCATAGTAATGGAATCCCTGGTTCAAAGGGAATTGACATTTTAGTCACTTTATTTCATGATTCCAAGTGGCTTTCCAAAATGGTTGGACTACTTCATTGCTCCACCAAAAATATACTGGTGTACCTATCATTCCATAACCCCTCCAACACTTAGTACTGCCAATTTTGTCATAATTGCAAATTTGTGGTGTGTGAGGTAAAACCTCTGGGTTCTTTTGATTTACATTTCTCTTATTATTAGAGATTTGGAGCATTCTTCAAAAGGTTACAAATACCTGGCAATTCTTTTGAGAGCTATTTATTCATATCATTTGACCGATAATCTATCGGGAAATGGGTATTAGTCATATATTTACAAATTATTTCTATATCTCAGATACCAAACCCTTACAAAAGAAATGTGATACAAAGGTTTTTTGTTTTTTTTTGTTTTTTTCTATTTGGCCACTTCCCTTCTTAGCCTAGGTGCATAAATTTTGTCATTGCAGAAGCTTTTTAGTTTTATGTAATCAATCTTTTATTTTATCTTTTTTAATTGTCCCTATCTCTTTTTTGGTTAAGTATACATTTCTTACCCCTAGCTGTGAGAAGTATATGTTTTGTTTCTCTTCTAATTGTCTTCATAATATGATTTTTAATATTAAGACATGCACTCCTTTAAGAATGTATCATGGAATGTAGTGCAAGGTGTTGGTCAAGTTTAATTTCTGCCAGACTGCTTTGCATTTTTCCTAAAAATTTTTATGAAATAATTTTTCCTAGGTAATTTCTGTTTTATACTTTTAAAAAACTGAGTTACTGAGTTTCATGGTTCCTCATTCTCCCTTGTTTAGTTGATTCAGTGATCTGCTTGTTAATCAATACCAAATGATTTTGATGATTATTGCTTCATAATATAATTTGAGGTCTGGAAGTGCTCTTCCCCCTTCATCCCTATTTCTTTCTATCATTTCTCTTGATATTCTAGGTCTTTTGCTTTTCCAAATGAATTTTGTTATTATTTTATCAAGTTCTCTAAGTATTCACATGATACTTTAGTATAGCATTAAAATATAAATTAATTTTGGTAGTATTGTCACTTTTATTATATAAGCATGGCTTAGCCCTCCAACTATTTAAGTTGTCTTTATTTCTTTAAGACACATTTTGTAATTAAATCTATTCAAGTATTTTGTGTGTTTGGGTAGATTGATCCTCAGATATTTTATACATATTGCAGTTATTTGGAATGGTATTCCCCTTTCTATTTTTGATTCTTGGGTTTTGTTATCATTATGTAGAAATGTTATTAATTTCTTAGTGTTTATTTTGTAGTATAAAACTTTACTGAAATTATTGTCTCAGTTAATATCTTTGATGATTTTCTAGGATGTTCCAAGTATATCATCATATCATCAGCAAACAAAGATAGTTTTATCTCTTCCTTATCTATCTTTATTATGCCTTTGATTTCTTTCTTCTGTCTTATTGCTAGGATTTCAAAACTATATTAAATAATAGTGGGGAGAGTGGGCATACTTGCTTTACTCTCATATTTATTGAAAAAGGTTCTAATGTATCCATTGCATATGATACTTGCTTTTGATTTTACAAAGATGCTTCTATTATATTATTATATTAAATTATATTATATTATTATA